GCTGCGCGTTCATGTTACCTCTGATAAAGATAAAAGGTGACCTGGAACCATAAGCTATAGCACCCCAAACCATAACTCCAACAGTGTGATGAACGTGTCTTTCAACAAAAAACTGTGGATTCCTCCTTTCACCACGTCGCCTTCTAACCCTGGCACGACCATCGTGCATGCCTAAACAAAATCGAGACTCGTCACTAAAGACAATACTGTTCCATTCCTGATCCCAGAGTGACCGTTGTCTGCACCACTCAAGGCGATTACGACGGTGTTCTCGAGTTAAAGGGAGGACCCAGTGTGGCCGGTATGAAAACAAGCCAAAACTTCTCATTCGTCGGTAAACACTTCGCATGCCAATAGGTCTTCCGTGTTCTGCAAACCATTCATTAACAATGGACCTGGTAGTGGAGAAACGGTCCCTTAAGGCCAATAATCTTAAGCGGCGATCTTCACGGTCTGTTGTTCAGTGCCCCTTGCTCTTTGCGTACGGCCTTCTCGAAGCCATGCCTGACAACACCTAACCACAGTGTCTACACTTCTTTGCACTCTAACTGCAATAGTCCTTGGTCCGGTCTATTATACTTATAACTTACGGAGCACTGCTCGTATGTTGATGGAATTTTCACACAAGGCTACTAGTATGCCAAAGACGAAAATTTTTGAAAATTCGTCTAGTGGCGGAGATGGAGACAGAAAACGAAAAATGATCGTTTAAAATGCATTTTTTAGAGGTTAATACGAGTAATTGGGGACTGCGGGTTGTAGGAGACGAGAATGTTAGTATATTGACTATACGCTTCCAGCCCCGGTAATTTAATGAGACTATTAGACATATTTCACACGCCGTACATTTTCCCTTGAAACAGTGACAGAGAAATATTTTCAACACACGCGTATCTGGACGAACGAGTGTCACGGTCTGAACGATGGCTTGCTTCCGTGGCTTATGAGTGGCGAGGTTAGTCATTGCAATGCTGGTCGGTACCGCAGGGGAGATATTTTTAGACAACGCTCTCGATGTATAGGGCCTATGGACTAATTGTATGGTCCTGTTTGGCTGACTTGATCCAGTGGGTTTTTCTGGTATACAAGTTTCTAGATAACTTTTCTCTAAAAGGGCCTAACTTCTGCCGAACGTGGGAGATGTAGATTTATTTATTTATTTATTTATTTATTTATTTATTTCCAACAGGTGAAACCCAATTACAGGAAACGCTGAAAAAAATAACAATTAAAGAGACATGGTTCTTGGACTTAAATCTATAGTATCACACATTCTAAATAAGATTGGATGATCTATAGCAGTTAATAATCGATGCACAACTGTCACTGTAAATATCACACGATTCAGTAACACTGTTCATGACGCAGCACATGAGATTAATTGGCGATTTTGTCATAACATTTGTACGGCCAGCTTGACAATAGAATGCCGTTTGTTGTCGACTCCCTAGCCTTGGAACGCGGAAACATATTTTTTCAAGTAAATTTTGACAGTCAATTTTATTGTGAATGAGGCCATACAAAAACGACAAAGCAAATATGTTCCGTCTTGTTGACAGTGAATCCAAATTGAAAAACTCTAATAGGGCACTATGGTCACAACCTCTTTCTGGATAAGAACCTGTGCATTTAAGGTGAAAATACTTTAAAGCTTTACGTTGAATGGCCTCAAGGATCACGACAGAATTTTGATATATAGGAGACCAGATCAGAGTCGCATACTCCAACTTGCTCCTGACAAAAGTAAAAAATAAAGTCATTAATGTATCAACATTGGAGAAACCCTTCCAGTTTCTGATACAGAAACCAAGTAGTCGAGTGGCAGCCGACGAGATATTGAGTATATGCTCAGGAAACGTTAGCTTGATATCAAAAATGACTCCAAGGTCTCTATAAGAGGTACATCTGTCCATTGATGTTATAATTATCATAAATTAAATAGTTAACTTTTCTTGTATAAGTCATAACTTTACATTTCGAAACATTCAGACTGAGACAGTTTCGTGAACACCATGACGAAATTAGAGCTAAGTCATCTTGCAACATGACGCAATCCTCGACTGTCTTGACTGACGTGCAGATTTTAAGGTCATCAGCGAAAAACAAATGGAAACACTTCAGTTCAAAAGACAAGTCATTAGTAAATATTAAAAACAATAATGGACCTAGATTTGACCCTTGAGGTACCCCAGACGTGGCCCGATAGTAACTCGACCTATGACCACCATATTCGACAAATAACCTTCTATCCCTCAAATATGAATTTATGAGCGACAGCATTGCATCAGACATACCCACTGTTTTAAGCTTATCCAGAAGTGCATAATGATCAACTTGATCAAACGGCTTCTGAATATCTGTGTAGATGACATCAACTTGCCCCTGACCGTCCAGTACTTCAGAAATGTGCTGAGTAATTAGAGTCAACTTAATTGACAAAACACAAAACAAATATCAGCGCGTAACGTTCACATTTGCGCACTGGGCGTAAATGCCTGTGCGCGCAGCGACAAGCGAATAGAAGCGCGGTGCTTGTGTTTGTTTTGATGCGGGGTAAATGACGTTTGAATAGACTATGGCCTTTCCCTATGGAGCGCAAAGGTGTACCCTAATAAGCAAAGTGCTGCTTGGGTATACATCCAACCAAGATTTACGATTAGTGAGCGCAATAAGGTGGACCCAGTGTTAATTTTCGAGAGATAGAAAATAGAGTAGACGTGTTGAAAGTTCCGGAATGAATGGCCACTTAGGACGGTCTAACCGCAAACACAGCCAGTGCCAATGAGAAATAGATACTCGTATATTATGGCTGGTTGATGCTGGAAAACTCTTAATGCGTTGGAAACGCGGAAGATGCCCATTCTCCGCTGTCTCTCCAGTCTCCAAGCAAACAGCTTTTACTGAAAACCCATGAAATTATGGGGCTTATAACGAATGACTACATTTTCTAATGTTACTTATTGTTAGCACTTGCTTTGCTTCCCTGGCAAGACAGCACAACTCCGAAAACGTTTAATAATTTGACTTACAGACCGGGATATCTGGAATTTCATAAAAAAATTGAGAGACAGATTTTACAACGGGAGCATATACGTGAGGTCAAACTCAAAGGCTCCTCATCTAGGGATACAAAGAATTTTGATAGGTAATTTTTTTTATTAAAAGTAAACTCCAAGGAATTCTATTATCAGAATCGACCAGTACAAAAGTGAATAGCAACTGATTGTTGAAATTATGAACGTACATCAGTTCGCGTTAACAGCAGAGTCATTATGACCGCTAGATGCTGCCGATTCTGGCGGTAGAGTAGATGTGGTGTACTAATAATCCTGAATATGTTTGCCTTCCGTCACTGTGACCATGAGCGACCGCACACAACGTTGTTTTTTGCTCACTATCAATCATCAGTAACATACTTGGGTAGCATTCAAATACTCGGTATTTTGAATTCTATTCAGCTTTTCATATATACATATTAATTTGAATACTATTCGAACACATTATACATTTGTGTGCTTGGTATTTGGTATTCGACTTTTCTGGCTAGTACTCTAGTACTCTAGATTCTGAATACCGTTTCTGAATCCCAAAATTCGAATTCCATATTGCGTTACGCTCAACGGAACTTGAGCATGTTACAACACGTTTGCGCTGGTTGTGATGGTAGAAACAAAATAGCTAGGTACGCAAAAATATTTTGTTTGAATGGACGGTGATGCTTCTGAATTCGCGATGCCGGCAGGTCGTTTAAGGAACGAGATTAGATTACGTATGCACTTTTGCAGCATTACCATTCCATTTTATAATAAATTTTAATACCTGATATATGATATCAGATGAAGTAGATATATATTAGGTAAGTTTATTTTTAGTTATTAGGTGCATTGTGTAAGATTCATATATTTTGTTATTAAGTTTCATTCTGTTAATTTTGTATAAAAATTTAATGAAAAGCAAATATCGTTTTTTATTATATAATTAATTTGCCTAATTGGTCTAACATCACTGTGAGACTGTATATGAAAAAGTTATTTTGGATTTTATTTAACATACATATAGTTATGTATTTTTTATTTTTCCATTACTTAAGTACACTGGCGCTCCCACGTGCGGGGTAAATACCCCCCTCCTCCCGATGACTCGAGCAGTCTTTGAAAAGGTGGTATAAAGTAAACGTCTTATAAAAAAATCTGTAACTTTAAGAAAGGATATCGGCAACACTGCCAACCCGCTCAGTGCGCCCACCAACAGCAACGGTGTACGCTTCTTCCTGTTGTAACAGGTATAGTCTAGTCTTTTATGGTCTAGTGTCTAAATTCTGTACCAGTCCGGAGTCCGCAACAAAATTTGGCTGAGAAGTGAACAAGCAGAGTTTTGTTGATCTGGTTGGTATTAACGCTATTTTCTATGTTCTATTGATTTTTTATTTTTCACGCATACGCCAGAAAACTAATTATTGTTGGTTTTTAATTTTTATACTATGAAAGAGTCGTGTTTAAAATATGACAGACGGAAAAATGGAAATTTGATATAATGTCAATTACGAAGTGTTTGGTCCATACTCCAGCTATCATTATCATCTATGTCTATTTTGTCTCGGAAGTCCCTATATATAAGCACTTCAGTGCATTTCGTTCGTCCGAGATGACAAATTATATATTTAGTTTTTGAAAATTGCGTGAACTTAAGAACTCTTGGTTTCCAAACAGAAAAGGTTCTTTGTGATGAAATACGTGAATTCGTGGAAACCAATAATGCCGTTTATTTGACAATATTTGTGTAACTTTTAGTGCTGGTTGACGGCTGCTGTTGTCAGGATGAGTAAAAGGAAACAGAATGCCATCGATTGGTTCCTTTCTAAACAAAAGAAACTATCTACTGGTTCAATGAAGAATCTTTGAATATATACAATTTTAATATTTTCTTTGCATCAGGATTTAATCCAAAAACTGGAGCTGAAGCAATGGACATATTAGAAACAATCTCTAAATATTTGCAAGTCACCTACACAACATATTATAGACAGTGGAATGTCACTGTATTCATCATCTGATGAAAACATTTTTACTTCAATTAATAGATGCCATTTATTGATTGTCGGTAAGTGTTGCGACACTGAAAGAAGTTTCTCCCATCTAAAGAGGATAAAAACTTGGCTGCGCTCCACTATGTTACAAGAGCGATTAGTGGGTTTAGCTGTTTTGTATATGCATAGAGATATTAAAATAGTGAATACGAGCATAGATCGGTTCGCCAGCAAAAAGAATAGGCGCCTTGATTTTGTAATATGATAACACCTGAACTTTGTCTAAGGTTGTCTCTCAAATCCATCTCCCTTCTGTTGGCCAATAAATAAAAAAGCAGATGTAGTTAAGGGTTTACTTACGTTTAAACCACCACGGTGATCTTTTCCAAAGTATCCAATCAAGATATGTGGTTTTATTTATTGGCCGGCAGATTGATATAAAAGTCTGTTCAAATTCTGTTGAAATCACTTTCTAAGCTAATGATTGTTTTATTTTGAGACCGTGAACTGATGTACTTTCATAGTTTATATGTTTTTGTTTTTTGAGACTGGATAAGAGAATGTAGTTATGCAATGAATATTTTTTTGTTTTTCTCATGACTAAGGATTTTATTTTGATTTACATTCAGTTTTATACTTTATAGAAGTCGTAACATATTTGTTATTGTTATTTTTTTCATGAAGATGTATGTTTTGTTGTTTTGCCTGACATTGTTAAGTAGAAAAGTCTGTACTAGATTATATTATTTTGCATTTTTGTTTTAATATATGAAGATTGCTCGAGGTTGGTTTGCTTTATTTACACTTTGATTTCGTATGATTCAAAATTTAAAAAAAATTAGGTATTTTCTATAGAAATTACTGTAACAAATTCATATGTCTGCATATGTCCATGCTTTTAATGTTAAATCATTATAACACTTGAATACGTCACACTGAGAATTTACTTTCCATTTTACCCCTCCCAGACTGAAATTCTGGGAGCGCCACTGCTTAAGTACATACATAAAAATCAAGTTTAAGGTACGCATAAGTTTTTATAACTAGAATATTCAAAAAGAATTCATATTTAAACGAATCCAGGTATTTAAAACAGCGGTATCCGAATACTCTTTCCTTTGTATTAGAATCTTGAGTATTCGAATAAAATTTAGAATACAGTACTCAGGATTTGTAATAGAATACCGGATATCAGTATTCGATCCAAATCTGATCAGTAATACAATTACTTTCATGACTGCTTTTCGAATATATACGGCGGTACACGTGTTGTTAGAGCAACCCAGAGTGTTTCATTCGGTACATGTGGTTGGACTATAAAGTTTTATTTGATTTAATAGTAATAGAAGCATAAACCCGTTCGAGCAGTCAACCTGCCGTGCTGGTAATAAATAAAAATACAAGATTTCCTTTTCATCTCTAAACACCTTTGGTTTTTACGAGTTCCATTGTACGCTGCCTTATAGAGCTTGCCCGTTAATAAAGCAGGTTGTCCGTCGAATTAGTTGTATACAGGGTGCGCGTGCACATAATTACCTAGACAAACAATGGTGAAAAAATGGGGTAAAGTAGGTTGACTCTGCACTTGCCACGCTACGCTGCCATCGGTCTATAAAATATTATGAGAAAAAAGTTAGCTACGAACTTGTATAACAAAGAAATTAAACGGATCAAGTTAGTCTGGAGATTTTTCCCTTCATACTGACGATACCGACCATCTGTCAACGTTGCTGTGACTAACCTCGCCCATACCTCGCCGCTCGCTGCTCGCTACATATCAGCCTCGGCCCCAGGGCAGCAACCACAGACTACGAAACATCAACACTCAACGGTGAGACCGCAACGCAGCATACAAGAGTGTGTTGAAAATATTTTTCTATCATTCTTATGGGATTGGAAGAGTATAGGTATACTAATTCACATATATTGAGTGATACAGACAAGATAATAATTAATCTGCTACATCTCTCAATTGTTAAACCCTACAAAAATGTAGCTGGGTAGCGGTCATTTCTGAGCCTGCTAGTGGAAATCATCAGGCTTCAGTTTTGCTTTATCTTATTTAAATGAGGGTACTGGCGAGAGGGTTTTCGTACACAAGATTATTTCACTTCTTCTTGAGGATACGCCACGTTGTTTCAGGCACAGATCTAAGCGGCGTTGTCCTGTGTATCTCGTATCCAGAATAAGCAATTTAGCAAGGTGGCAATCCAAGATATTAGTGGATGTAGATTAGATACGTGCCCTTTTGCAAAGCCGATGAGTATCCTATATTGACACTACCCGATTGAAAGATCTGCTTTTATTATTTTATCTAACAATCCTCATAAACCTTCACAATTTCCCCAAAAAGTCTGGAACTGTATGAAAACCCAGAGAACGTTTGTATTTCTTCACCGAAAAATGCAAAGTGTTAACCACTGTGCAAACTGCCAGCTTAAGCCTTCTTCTAAATATATCGCATGGTTGCGCCCAGGACCACCTTCAAATATATATATATAACTTGAGACGTGGTCATTGTCGTCTAGACCAGTTAGGTGAAAAATTAAAGCTTCCGCCTTTAGTTGAGCACTTCGACAAAATTTAAGCAAAGAGGACTCTTTATACTTTTTTAATTCTCTCTAGCTTTCAATGGACTTTGCCATCATCATCAGGAGCTGCAATTACAATGATAACAGTAGCAACAAAAGTGTAAAATGAATTTAAATTGACTCAACTTACAGTAGTATGTGAGGATGTTGCTAATTTTTGTTTACGTATAGGATGAGGAAAACGTCCAGTAACATGGTGAGAGCTGGATAGATGGTACAATGGTCAAAATTATATAAAATATGACAAGAACAAGTTAAAAACAGATTAAAAATTATTTAAAAACATTAGAGCATTACATCGTGAAGCCACTTGATGATTGCACAAAATGGTGGTCATGGAATAATGAGTCAGATGAACCCTTTGACAGAAGGCCGAAGGTTGTCAATGTCTGTGTTGAAAGATGGAACGAATTGTGGGCGCGTGTCATAAAAAAATACGTAGATGACATTATTTTATGCCTCCCTCCATAGGTCTGGATGGTATTGTCAGAGAATTCAACAGCTATGACCCCTACATCCAATTTACCATTGAAAAAGAAGATGAGAACCTGTCTGTCCCCTTTCTAGACACAAGACTCATCCGCACCAACAACAACAGTTTATTGGTAGACTGGTACTAGAAACCTATGGCCTCAGGTCGGTTTCTCAATTTTAGGTCATACCATAAGCTAGGGATTAAAATCAATTTGGTAAAACAGATGAAAACAAGGGTAATCTGCATCTCAGATAATACTTTCCACACCTCAAATTTACGTAAACTATCAAAACTGTTCATCAATAATGGTTATCCGAAGTGTCTGATTAACAAGATCTTATTTAGTTCACCTTCCAATATTTCGCCGAACTCTGGTGATGCAGGTAATAGTCGCACAACCCCTAATAACGGAACTGATGTAATTCCCAATAATAGCATCAATCCAAACAGTACAAGCACCAACCCGGACTCCAGACCTGGTTTTGCTGTCCTGCCCTATATCAAGGAACTGACCCCTAAGCTGATCAGATTGTGCAGTCCTTTGAACTTTCGAATTGCTTGCAAATCCGTCCTCACTATAAACTGAATTTTTTCAAAAATGAAAGATAAAGTCCCGCTGCTTGGCTTAACCAACACAGTCTACTCCATCAATTGCAACAACTGCAACCAAATATACATAGGTCAGACCTCCAGATCTCTTAAAGGAAGGATTACATCACACAAAAGTGATGCTAGGCTTCATCCTGAAAGATGCGCTCTAGCATCTCATGTTAACACAACAGGGCATTCTATGAATTACACAAGTATCAAAGTTCTTGATAAAGAAAAACACCTTTCCAAACGTTTATTCCTGGAAATGTCCCACATTTTCATGAATAACAACTGTATCAACAAAAAAACAGATATTAAACAACTGAGTGTCATTTACTCATATTTGCTAAACTGCGAAAAATTGGAGAACTCACATATCTCCCCAAATTTCAACTCTTCACAACCATAAATAGAATCTGTGTTTTGGCCGATTCCACCAGTAAATTTCATTCCACTCAAAATCTAATAATTCTCTTCTCACGATTTATTAATAATTGTTAATTTAAATTCCCATTAATTAAAATATAGTTTATTCAACTGCCTCTGGTCGGTTTAACAATTTCTTACATAACATTCTGAAAATCACATCATCTGAAGTGATTTGGCAACGTTTGGCACACGCCCACAATTCGTTCCATCTTTCAACACAGACATTGACAACCTTCGGCCTTCTGTCAAAGGGTTCATCTCACTCATTATTCCATTTCATTCCATTTTGTGCAATCATCAAGTGGCTTCACGATGTAATGCTCTAATGTTTTTAAATAATTTTTAATCTGTTTTTAACTTGTTCTTGTCACATTTTATATAATTTTGACCATTGTACCATCTATCCAGCTCTCACCATGTTACTGGACGTTTCCCTCATCCTATACGTAAACAACAATTAGCAACATTCTCACATAATACTGTAAGTTGAGTCAATTTAAATTCATTTTACACTTTTGTTGCTACTGTTATCATTGTAATTGCAGCTCCTGATGATGATGGCAAAGTCCATTGAAAGCTAGAGAGAATTAAAAAAGTATAAAGAGTCCTCTTTGCTTAAATTTTGTCGAAGTACCCAACTAAAGGCGGAAGCTTTAATTTTTCACCTATATATATATAACAAAAAGTAGGAAAATAATTGTCAAAATCCGCAAACAGGAGAAAATTGGATTCGAGCAGAAAATAGGATAGGTAACCCGAGCAATACGTATTTTTGCTGGTTGGCTTCATCAGGCCCGAAATGAATGCACATATGAAACTACAAAAGTAGATACACATGCCCACACATCCGGATACGGGTGTAATCTGAGGAAACGAAGATGGAGAGGGTAAAAAACGACACACGAGGTCCACAACAAGAGCCAACCTACACATTGTGGTATGGAGGTCTTCTAGCCATTTTATACTTGTCTTGTTGTGTGACTTCGTGACCAGCAGAAATACGTATCGCTCGGGTTACCTATCCTATTTTCTGCTCGAATCCACTTTACTTCTTTTTGCGGATTTTGCACATTATTTTCCTATTTTTTGTTATATATATATAAAATAAATATATATA